TAGGTCTGTCGGTTTTGACATTCCATAGAGGTATTTCTGATAAGCACTCAGTCCCTCCTAAAATTTAGCGTTATGCACATTTGATCACAATGGTTGATCAAAATATTATTTCTTTAAAGCACAATGATCAGATAAAAAATTGATCAAAATTTTTGGCTTTAAGCACAATTAACGAAAGAATGATGCGACAACAATTCGATTATTCGGTATGTGAGAGAAATGAATGAAGATCTGTAAGAACAAGTTTACAGATTCTGATATTTAAAAAAATGAATGAATATGTATCAATGTAAAAAATATCAGAAAACAAAATTGAATACAAACGAGTGTATTATCACCGAAAAAGATTTTYATATAAGAGACGTGATAATAACAGTTTGAAGAATAGCTGAAACAGGTATTAGAATTATGTATGACGAGAAATTATGCAAGTAAAATCTTAGGAAATACCTGTTCAGAAAATGTACTCGTTTCAGAAAATATTTCCATTTTCGAAAACATTTATTCAAAAATTCTAGAGACTCCCCTTAGAAAACAGATTTAACTAATGATTCAGTTAAGCTCAAAAGAATAAAAAAAATTGAAACATTTTAAGCACGGGTTCTAAACTGAGTGATTAGAAACCACACTCGGTAAAGCACGGGTTCTAAACTGAGTGTTTAGAAACCACACTCGGTAAAGCACGGGTTCTGAACTGAAATGTTCAGAAGCCTCGTTTGGAATAAATTACAACTCCCCCTGCAATGGTGTATCACTGAAATGATATTCTAATCAGCACAAAATGGACACACTTGCAAAACCAGATTAAGTAGATTTTGGTACCCAAACGAACTTGGGTCCTATTTTGTTAGTATCGGGTTGGGGTATGTTGTAATTTCCAAACCATTTATTTCTATAAGATATTTTCTTTTCAGCACTATTAACAAGATGATTATATACATAATATGATTCATGCCAATTATTATAATCATTCTTGTTTCCAGTTGTTCTGATAACTGTTATCTCCATGGCACCTGTTGAACCTTTTGTTATTGACAAAATTATTGGTTCTGCATGTTGAGCACATAATCATTCTCTTGCTAAGATTGATCAGATCATTAGTGGATCTCACAAGGCAAGGAAGATTGTTAGTAACAACAGGTGTATGAGATAAAACAGATTCAGACTTATTAACCCAAATGCTTTTAACCTTTGAAGAGTAATTTGGTGATCCAATGACATACCCTTGATAATACTGATTAGAACGAGAATAATTCTTAGAAACATTAGATTTAGGACTACTTGAATAACTGTTCGAATACGAACAATTATAAAAGTTGGTTTTACACTGTCACTACAAAAATGTTGGGTATCAGCGAGGGAAAATTCCCTCGCTGATCCGTCGCTGATACTCCGTCGGTCAAACAGTCGTAGGTAATGCTATCAGCAACGGATCAGCGACGGAAATCAGCGACGGATTTGCGACGGACACTTTCAGCGACGGATTTGCGAGGGAAATCAGCGACGGATTTGCGACGGACACTTTCAGCGACGGATCAGCGAGGGACGTATTTAGCGACGGATCAGCGACGGATTTGCGAGGGAACTTTCAGCGATGGATTTGCGAGGGAACTTTCAGCGACGGATTTGCGAGGAAACTTTCAGCAACGGATTTGCGAGGGAACTTTCAGCGACGGATTTGTGAAGGAACTTTCAGCGACAGATTTGTGAGGGAACTTTCAGCGACGGATTTGCGAGGGAACTTTCAGCGACGGATTTGCGAGGGAAATTCAAGCACTTTCAGCGACGGATTTTCCCTCGCTAATCCGTCGCTAATTTTTAAAAAATTAAAAAATAAATTTTTTAAAAATACATAAATCCTTTATTTATTTTTAAAAAACCTGAAAATAATAATATATAACAAACCAAATCTGTGAACAAAAGTAACCAATTCATACGATTTAAAATATGGATTCATACAATTTAAAATATTCAATTCATACAATTTAATCTTCGAATACATACAACCTAACTATCGGGATCTGGGGGAGGTGGGAAAACGTATCCTAATTGCCGCATAAACGCAGCAAAATGCTCCGATAATTCGACCTATTGGGCTAATGCAGCAGTCTGTTCGGCTAATGCAGCAGCTTGTCTGTCCTGTTCAGCTGCCGAGGCAGCTTGTCTGGCCTCCAAATCTGCCMTATTTTTCCGTTCGGTCTCGAGTTCCTCTTCTACCCTTGACAACTTATCTCTCAACTTCGTTACCTGTAAATATTCAATATTCTTCGAAATCAGTAATTTGTTCGCAATTTTAGTAAAGAGAAAGTTTATAACAATATAACCAACGTACCTCCGCTCTTGACTCGTTTGATGACCCGCTACTGCTACATCTACCCGTCATAGCATAAGTGGGGTCCTGGGTGGTCCCGAAACCAAATATTCGGCCTTTCCTCCGTCCTCCGACACTTTGCTCCCAAAGAGATGCCTCATCAGGGAGAGGGTTGTCGATACTAGATTATGACTCACCCCTAAGCGATTGAAATCGCTCCTATG